ACAGACTGAGAGGCTCCCTGCCTCCACAGGAAAGGGAGTGGGAGGAATGAGGATTAGAAGCACTGGAGAAAGAGCACAAGGATTGGGAAGGGCCTCGGGTGAGCTTGATGGGGTTAGAAGTGTAGGGAAGGCGGAAGAGAAAGGCCTGGAGTTGGGGACCCTGGAGGCCACCAGAGAAGGCTTCTTGATAGTTTCCCTATGGAAAGGGTCACCTGACCTGATGTCGTCCCTGACCAAACCCAGTACGCCACTAGATAGAGTCTGCAACTGGGGACAGGAGGAGAATCCAGGAAAAGTTTGCTGATAGTCTAGGCCTGGGCCCCTGTGTGGAAGCAGAATCAGAGAGGAAACGTATGGGATGGCCCCAAAGCTGAGCCTGCAGCGCTAGTCCTCTCAGTCATAGAAAGAAGTGGATTCCCTGGTATCTACGCAGAGGAAGATAACGAATGGGTTTTGGAGATGGGGCAAGTTTAGGTTTGAGAGTAGACAATTGTAAAGTAAGGAGCAAAGGTGATGCCTTAACCATCTCTCCTCAAGCTTGGGTTAGAGGGAGGGAGAATAATAAAGTGGAAGATTCCAGGATGACCACATTGTCCAGGAGGTGAGTTACCAGGCTGGGAGAAGAGGCCAGTGGCCCTCCTCTGAGGCCGGGCTGTGGGGCTTGGAGAGGCCAAAGTAGAGCAAGTTGGGGAGATCGAGAAGCCTGGGAGATGGCATCTGCATCTTCACACTCTTTGGGGAACCCCAGCTTTCCCAAAGGAGGAGGAAGGAAAGGGATGGTGCCTGGGCTCAAGAGCACCAAGTGCAGCCGCTTTCTTTCATTCGCCAACATCACTGTTTGCAGACAACCCCCTCCTGCCCCTGTGTGAGAGGTTTCCCACTCAGACACAAAACGCAAGGGTGCCCCCTCATAGACCTTTTCTGAACCCTACGCCCCTACCCCTTTCTTCAAGTGACCACTCAATTGCAAACATTCCTTTCTTGCCTAAATAGCTCAGGCCCTGTGCCCTACGTCTAGCACAAATATCTTCTTCCAGCGTGCAGCCAGGAATCTGGGCAGGAAAGAGCCCCCCAAACTCTATTCCGGCTCTACAAGACCACAAGACTGGGCTAGAATCCAGACCCCATGGTGATGAGGCTCTTTGTTCTCCTACAGTCTCAACCCACCCCCTGCTTTTTTTTTTAAACTGGACTTTCTCCCATAAAAAAGGAACTTCAGAGCTTCAATTGCTTTTTTTCCTTCCTTCCTTCCTTTTTTCCTTCCTTCCTTCCTTCCTTTTTTCCTTCTTTCCTTCTCCCCCGCCCCGGGAAATATATAGGAAACAGAAAAAGAAGCAGAGAAGAATCAACTGATGCCTGATTTCCAGAGGAGGCAATCTGGGCTTTGGATAAGGCATGAGCGCACTAACCTTATTTCTCTCATTCTTCTCCCTCCCCTAGAATCCAGGCTACACCCAGCCCTCCAGTGTGTGCACCAGGCTTGCCACTGCATCCTGCAAAAGCTAAGGTACACCTCTGATTTTGTCTTTCACGCAGTGGGTCAGAAATTCCATCCCCAAGCTTCAGAAAAAAATCAGAGATCTATCTGCCCCCTTCATTTTGGGGTGATGTCTTTATAAGTAGAGAGTAAAGTGAGCATGTAAATGAAGTGTGCAAACAGATAAGCAGACAAGCAAAGAGACCTTTATTTGCATGTAGAGGATTTAGACGTAGAGCTGGGTATCTTCATGAACACGTTTAGGCTGTGTGTACAGGGGCGTGTGTTGGAACAGTGTACTATGCTGGCCACTTTCCTACAGGCACCGACATTAGTGTCCGAGAGCAGATACAGACAACACACACAAAGTACATTCAGTATGTGTCCCTCATGTGTTGGATGAGTTGAGCGTAGCTGAGAGCTTGATTCACCAGACGGAGCTTCGGGTACAGTGGCTCCCACCGGTCAGAACTCTCTCTAAAAAAGCAGCCTAGAGCTCAGCCCGGTCTCCCGATGGGGCTGGGGTCGGTTCCCATTTTTCTTCCTACATTTAAATTGCCCTTCTTTCACCCTAGACCAGCAGCTCAGCTAGAGTCTGAAGAAGCCACATTTCTTCTTATTTCTCTCGATCTTCCTTTCCTAAACTTCATCCATAGTCAAGCCCGAAGCTCGCGGCCTCCTTCAGAAGCCGAGAGGATAGAGGTGTGGCGGTGGGGCTTGGGGGGGGGGCGTGAGCGTCGCAGCTGAAGGTTTCAGCACCCGGCTTTCTAGGGCGGAGTTGCCTCGGAGATGTAATTACTACGTTTCCAGTGGTGCATATTCTCCTGGAGTGTTTAATTTGATTTTATTTGTGTCTCAGCGAGATCCATATATTTCGGGGGAGGGGGCAAAAGGGACCCCAGGCTTAAAGTTAATTAACCAGCAAGACTTCGCTGTGCACCGCTTGCTCACAGGCTGCAGGCCGCACCTCCCTCTCGGATCCTGGTGTGCCCCAGTCTCGATGCCTAGGTTTGTAGGGTCTCGGGGAGCCAAGAAAGGTGGGGAGGGGCCGCTGACTTCTCCAGTAGCTTTTAGTTCCTTTTCTCCTGAACTTAACTCCGCAAGGCCTGCCATTTTGCCAGGGATTTGGGGAACCTGCATCTTCATCTAGTCTTCCTGATGAAGACAATTTGGTTTCTTGTCTTTTCTGTCGCCGCTAAATTTTGGCCGCATAGTGCCCCTAATAAACGGAATTGTAAAGTTGCCGGGTTAATTAAATCTGTATCTCATTGCAATAGGAATAGTTAATGTCCTTATATAAACCTGGAAAAGAATATACTATTAATTTTATTTATTGCTGGACCGTGCTTCACTCAGATCCTTCCCGCCATTCAGGCCCTATTTCCAAAGGCTCGAGACGTGCCTGTTGGTCCAGGGCGGCGTCTGCCAGAAGACAGGACCTGAGGGCGAGCCCAAGCGCGGGACGGGCACTTCAGGCCCTTTGTTTCTCCTGGGGGCACCACAGAGATGGGTCTACAGCGCCCCATTTCTCCGCAGGGGCTCGGTACTTCGCAGGAAGGACAACTAAGGCCTCTGCACCACCTCTACCACTGCAGAGGACCTCCCGGTCTCCCCACCCCACCCTAGACGGGCCTTGGACCAAGGGCCAAGGTCACACGATGCAGTCTAGACCGCCAGGCTGCGGTGGCTCATTTTACCTTGACCTTGGACTCCAACCGGGGCAGTCACTCTCCCACTGCCTCCAAGTAGACGCCCAGCCAAACCTCACCTTCCCCTTGGATAATTCTTCCTCTCCTCACCATAATGGTCCTTAATACTCAAGCAAGCTGGGCTGCTTATGCTTCAGATCTCTTTCTGTGGTGTTTTCCCTCTTCCTGCCAGCCCAGCAGAAGACTGCTTTTTAAATTCTGAGCTGACCCTCTGAAGGAAGATCATGCTGATAGATTTGCTTTGCTTACCCTAACTCACCTAGTCTGGGCATTTCGACATCAAACACCAACCTCCCTTCCAGGGAGAAGGGCAGCTGCCGTGAGGGTCTCTGGCAGACCTGGGCATTGCTCTTAGGACTGAGGGGTTCAGGGGGTATAGCCAAGTGGGGCAGCCTACTGAGTGGCAACAGCTTGGGAAAACGTGAGCATCCAACATTGAAAAACCTGAAGCAGAAAAAAAGGGAATCCTATCCCCTCTCCCTCTGCACTCCCCTTTATTACCTCTTCTCAGGAAGGCCCTTACCGAAATGGAACTTGGCTCAATTCCACGGAGATGACCCCCATTGGGCGTGACTCCGTTGAGGTCCTGGACAAGAACCGGTCCCAGGAGGAAAGAAGGAGAGCTTCTGAAAAATCAGTAAATTGGTCTTTATTTTTCTTTGAAATAGGGGATGGTTTTGGGATATGAAAATACTCTGCGATAAAATGGGGTGCCGCTGAGGAAAGTGTGGAAGTTAGAGAGGTTGTTCATCTGGGGACTGCGTCGGAGGCGGGTCCTGCGGGACTGAGATCGGACCTCCGGGTCGTGCAAGGCTACACGTGGGAGCGATCCCTCCGAGAGGGAGGTCAATCTTCCCTATTTTCCACAGTTCCTAGCGTATACCTGTACAAGATGGCACGCTTTCTTAGCATTGAGGGATTTTGCTTTCCTAGACCAAGTCCTGTGTTCCCATTTCTTTGGAGAGGGAAGAAAAAAATCCTCCCTCTCAGGCTTTTATTTCTATTGTGTCCCCCATTTCTCTCAGAGAGTATATTGCATCCTCGCTGCACGGTCTTCATCCCCACTACCCCCGTGACGAAGTCTGTGTTTGGGAGCTGTCACATCTCTCCAGCTCTCACTACCAGCAAGGAGAGGAGAGGCTCCTTTTCAGATCCACTGGGGTGTGGGGGAAAGCGGTGACTGTCGGAGATGGACCATCTCAGCATCAGAGGCTCGCAGCAAGGCGTCGTTGGGTTCTTTCCAACCGCGAGCTGGAGCGAAACCTGCCGGAGCTGGAGCGATCTTGCCTGATTTCTAGTTTCTTCATTTATTATTTTAAAATCCAGTTTCGCCCTAACTTTTAGCTCCAGACCCCAGCCTATGGACTTCGGCAGACGATCGGTTGGAGGATAGGGTTCTGTCTCCCTGGTGCACATCCTGAGCCTAGGGGGAGGCGCCCAGGAACCGTCCTCTCCTCCCAAGGCACCTTTGCGTCGGCCAAATTCGGCCTCTCCCTTCTCCCCCGCCTGTCAGGGGGCGTCGCCCTGTCCCTTTAAAGGTTCAAGCTCCCGCCTTCGTTCACCCTCCCGAGAACCAATCAGCTAAAACCTCATTTCTTTTCGCCCCACCCCACCTCCAGGGGAGGGAACCCCTGGAGATCCAGACGCGGCATCACGTGCCAGACCGCCGTCACGTGGGCGCAGGAGGAGCGCTGAGCCGAGGTGGGCGGGAGCCGAGGATTTCTTAATGAAGTGTCTCCGCATGCGCAGAGAGACCCTGGGGAGGGAGGTAAAAGCACCAGGTGGAGGAGGAGGACGAGGAGGAGGAGGAGGGGAGGGGTGGAGAACGAAGGGAGGAGGGATGGGGGAGGGAAAAAGGGAGCGAGGTGTCTCCCTAGCTCGCAGCCTCTGGCAAGTGGAGTTTTTAAAAAGCTCGAGCAGATCATGTCATGACGACTTCGCTGCTCCTGCATCCCCGCTGGCCGGAGAGCCTTATGTACGTCTATGAGGACAGCGCGGCGGAGAGCGGCAGCGGCGGCGGCGGGGGAGGCGGTGGCGCGGGTGGAGCAGGGGGCGGCTGCAGCGGAGCGAGCCCCGGCAAAGCCCCGAGCATGGACGGGCTGGGCAGCAGCTGCCCGGCCAGCCACTGCCGCGACCTGCTTCCGCACGCGGTGCTGGGCCGCCCGCCGGCTCCTCTGGGCGCCCCTCAGGGCGCCGTCTACACGGACATCCCGGCCCCGGAGGCAGCGCGCCAATGTGCCCCGCCGCCGGCGCCCCCCACCTCGTCCAGCGCCACCCTGGGCTATGGCTACCCATTCGGCGGCAGCTACTACGGCTGCCGCCTGTCGCACAACGTGAACCTGCAGCAGAAGCCTTGCGCTTACCACCCGGGCGATAAGTACCCAGAGCCGTCGGGCGCCCTGCCCGGTGACGACCTGTCCTCCAGGGCCAAGGAGTTCGCCTTTTATCCCAGCTTCGCCAGCTCCTACCAGGCGATGCCCGGCTACCTGGACGTGTCGGTGGTGCCCGGGATCAGCGGGCACCCGGAGCCGCGTCACGACGCGCTCATCCCCGTCGAAGGCTACCAGCACTGGGCTCTCTCCAATGGCTGGGACAGTCAGGTGTACTGCTCCAAGGAGCAGTCTCAGTCCGCCCACCTCTGGAAGTCTCCCTTCCCAGGTAAGGAAGGGGCTCTAGCGCCGCCGCCGCCGCCGCAGCTGCCTGGGACCCCTCCCCGCCCTGCCTGCCCCGGGGCTCCGCGCCCCAACCACCCCCGCCGTCTGGCCCCGGCGCGCCGGCTCGGCTGGGCTGTCGATGGAGCCGGCCAGGCGAGCTGAGCTGAGGAATGCGCTGGGGAAGAAATCTGCTCCGACACGTTCCTCGGAGCTGCCCGGTCGACAGTGAAGCAATCACAGGCGCCCGAGCGCCCGGCCGCCGGCTCGGCTCGGGTTTGGAGCTCGACTCCTCCTCCCCCAGCCCGCTCCAGCCTCCTGTAGGGTTCCCGGTCTCCAAAGGAATGGGGTTAGGATGGGTCTTCAGTGCCTTGAAACCGAGGCTGAAACCCTCAACCCACTGAATAATTGGGAGAATTTTTAAGAAACCTCCTGTTGTTTGCCTGAATTTTCAGGATCACTCAGGCACTAATTTAAAAAAAAAAATAGGGATCTATTTTGTAGTCTGTAGACATGTAGGACTTTTTTTTTTTTTACTTAATTTTAAAATTCAGCCCAAATGTCCTGATTGTTTAGGGAGAAGAGCTATAATTCTAGAGAGGGAGTGGAGAAAAGGGGTCTTGAACCCCTCTCCCGGGATCTAAAATTTTCTTTCAGTATACCTCTCTGGTACACTGAACTCAAATACTGTGAATGTTTCCACTGACAACTCCCGATGAAGTGATCAAGAGTCATTTACCATGCCCCAGAGAAAGAAAGGGGGCCTAGGATAAAAGGAGGAGGAAGGAGACCTGTGAGAATCTGGGATCAAGGGTACTGACTGTGGGCTCTTGGGTCCTATCTGTGTAAAGGGGAGGAGAGGTGTCTGAAGACCTTTTCCTTTTCCAAGGGAGGCTGTCTGAATAAGAATGCAACTTCCATCACTCCCCAGGGGAGAAAGACCAGTCCCAGGTTTCCCAGAATCACATGAGGAGCTTTAGGTCCTGCTCTGCTTGAAAATTTGGAATTTTTCTAGGTCTAGAAAATTATGAATTTGAGGCTACTCTTCATGTAAACGGAGCTCAGAGGGAAATGATCCTCCCTTCTAAGGCCTTTAGGGTTGGAGGGCCACAGCAGACATAGATATGTCATACCATAACACCCAGAGGGGTACCCTATATACATGCTGAGCCCAGGGATACTTTCATTAGAAAGCATAGACCCTGAGATTTCTTAAAGATGGGCCTGAAATTCCTCTGCATCCCGGATTGGAAACAGAGGCAGGCAGTGAAAAATCACTGAATGAGAGCTGGGGATTTAGCTCAGTTGTGGAGGAGTGCTTGTCTAGCAGGCATGAGCTCCTGGGCTCAAGGCCCTGAGTTCAATCCCTAGTACTGCCAAGCAAAAACTGATTAGATATTGTTCATGTTAGTAAATAGCATTTTTGTAAATGTTATGAGATTACTTAGACTAACACAACTGAATACCATCACAAAGCATTCAAGCACCCTGCCAGTATTGAGTATGATGGCATTTTAGTGCAAGGATGCGTCACCTCTGAATTGACTGCAGGAATTTTGTTAACCACATAATATGAAACACTCAATACATTTCTAGAAGATAGTTCACATGTAGGTATACTATAGAGAGAATGCCCTTTATTTCTCTATCTCACCAAAACAGAAAGCCTCTTAGAAGATGAGGGTCCAAGAGGAATTCCTGGGACAGTAGAGGATGTGGATCATGTCAAGGGGCCCCTGGGCGAGGAGCAGGTGCCCACCAGACCCACTGTACTCAGGAGCGGAGGCCCACAACAATGGGCAAAGGTTTAGCATGAAGAGATGAAAGAGGAAGATGCTCTGTTATCTCAGTAAGGGTAAGATTGGAGAGAAGCTCAGAAACATCTTTAAGCAAAACAAACATTTTGAAGGTTTTTAAAAGAAAAAGCTTCATTTAAAATAAACACTTCTTGATCACAGCCTCCTAGAGAAAAATATCTTTGAAATAAAAGACAATACAGCCCAATTGAGATTTAATACACTTGCAAATTACGGCATGGAAGCGGATATAAAACCCAGCGTGCCTTAGCAGCTTTGTGCTCACACCTTCTCTGTGTGGAAACGAGCCTGGCTGCTATATCTCCAGGAGTACAGAGGTCCAGTCAGGAGGCAGATGAAAAAGAAATTATCTTCAGACACCCTCCTTCTTTCTACCCACACAGATCTTTTAGAAGTAGTGAGATTTCTAGATAACTCTGTCTATGCAATTATGGTTTGTTCAGCAGCATCTAGGCATAAACACCACTGTCTCTCTTCAATGCCTCTGGCTCTGAGAAACCTCATCTATGGCAGTCTGGGCTGGTGTGAGAGATGGAGGCAATTGTTCAGAAAGATCCAGATAATTAGGGCCAAGATGTGTTGTGGCTTCTTCCTTCTCCCAATTATACAGACCCTTGCTTCATTGCTGTGGGGTTTTTTTTTTCCTCCCTCTAGTAAGTATAGACATTCTTTTTCTTTTCTCTTCTCTTTTCCTAAGAGAAATAGAATTTCCAGGAGAGAATTAGGGAGGAGAGAGAAAAAAAATTGGTTTGAAGGGGGAAAAGAGAAAACAGTAGGTGCTTTGGGGTTGAGAAGAGCAGCTAGTGGGATTTCTGTCTGCACAAGATACCCTTCAGGCCCAGAGTCTGCTTTTGAGGGTAGGTAATCAGAAGTGGGTAGATTGCCAGGAGTGTAGCTCAGTGACACAAATGCCTGCTGGGTAAGTACAAGGTCTTGAGTTCTACTCCCAGTGTGTGTGTGTATAGTGGGTGGACTGTGGGAACCTGCAGCCCCAAGAGTAAACTGTGGCTGAGCAATGATCTTTTAATTTTTTTCCCAAGGTGTTGATTATGCTCCCAGGTAGAAAAAGATGGGTATGTGTGATCTAAAAGACACTAGGGAGATGTGATTGTGAAATTAATAAGCCAAGCCCCGGCTCACTGTAGACAGCGTAGACACAGCTTGAGGTATCAGATGTGTTCATATTTGTAGTTTCCACTTTCTTCCTGTAGCCAGCAGGCAATGAAACGGGGCTTTTCTGAGAAAGCCAGGCTGGAGTTATCTCCAGAGGAGTCCAGAACAATCCCCAGTTTGTTCTAACCAATGAAACTTAGCCAAATTAATAATCTTTGGCATCCTATAGAGCAAAGTAATCAATTTAGACCAGTTGCCTACTTCTTAAACTGATTATTTTAGGACTAGGTTGATTAAATATCATTGGAAATTGAGTTGGAGGTTAGGGTGCTGAAATTGAGTACACAACTATGAGAGTTTATAGAAAAGTGAGGTTGAAAAACAAACCCAGGAACAAGTGCTTGGTTAATTCAGCAACTGAGCCCACCTTTAATCTACTTTGTTCTCCAGGAAAAAAGAGATGTTTTAAAGGTGGGTTGTTTTAGGTGGCCTATTTCTGTTTTAAAATATACTCTGTAGTTATTTTTTTTCCAAAATTTTATTGATAAACAGCAATGAGACAGTTTCAAATCAAATCACTCTGTAGATATTTTAAGAGTCTGAAAAAAATTTAAAATCTTGTCCTGTGATTTAAGTTATTTTGCCTATGCTGGCTCTCTGATTCCAGATTTTGTAAAGGGGTTTAATAAAATAAACCTGAAAAAATATTTGAAGGATTTAAAAACAAAAACTCATGGCTTCACTACTTACCCCATTCATTTTTCTTGTTCCTGAATCATCATCAGTCTCCCCAATCATGGGTGTATCTATAAGAATAAAACAATTTGAGAACTGAAATTTTTTTAAAATTATATTGTATGAATTTTTTTAGCACAGATGATCTTTTCTGTTAAGTTAAGGTGTTTGTTTTTCAGATTTAAAAAAAACTTGGCTTATTTACACAAAGGAAGAGAAAAATTACAAACTGGACAATTTTCACAAGAAATTGTTAGCATGAAGACAGCCAAAGCATGCCAGTGAAACTCCCACTTTTTTCCTGAGTGCTATTTTCCCCAGTCTTTGATTGTGGCCTCTGCTGTTTTTATCCTGCAACCTGTAGACCCAATGGGAATTGGCATAAGGGAAGTGTTTTGTGAGAGTGGAGTGTGAGGAAGCATTTCAGAAGAACATAGTATCTTCGCTCCCAGCTGTCTCTAGTTTCATAGAATTGTACGATTGAAGAAGAAACCCCAGATTATCCAGTCCCTCTCATTAAGTTCTTACTGATGAACTCTAACAGTTACATGGGAAAAAACTGAGAGCTGTTTTTCAGATGATCCTCTTCATTGCCAGTTCTCCTTAAAAGTGTTACCATGACTGTTTACTCGCCAGGGGTGAGAGTGGGGATTGGAAGATGGGAATAAATCTTACATATTATTTTTAGTCCATGTGAAATTCTCAGAGACTGAAAAAACTGAACTGGTAGTTCTTGAGATGGGGATGTTAGGGTTTCAGGTTGAGGTTGGTGCACAAATAGTTTCTTTTAGGCTTGAAGGAAGTGAATGGTTGAGAAGCTGGAATAGGGTTTGCTCTGTTTTGTAGGGACCTGAGTGTGAATCCTCTGTTCATAGGGGCTTGATTGCTTATATTTTGAGGCAGGTCCTCCCAACTTGGGTATATAATTCATAACATTGAGGTGCCCCCCACCACCACACACACACATTTCTAGAGTAGTCGGCCCCCTATGCAAGCTGCCTTCGCCTGGACACGACCTTCTTTTCCTGTGGTGGTTGTGGTGCTTCAAGTCCTTAGTGCAAGGCCAGTGCCCAACAGTATGAGGACACTTTCCATCTGTGTGCCCACTGAAGCTGACCTCTGTGGGCTGTGCCCTCTACAAACATACTACAGAACGCCTTCCTCAGGCAGGGGGACCAGGTACAGGCTGATGGGCATCCCAGGGAGCTAAGTGCAAGAAGAAAGGATTTTTTTCCACAAATGCTCCAAATCCTGAAGGCATGGCAGGCCAGGGGGAATTTAGAAGATTCCCTCAAAAGGATCAAGATTCCTTATTGACTAGTGCTCTAAAGGGCCACATTAGACCCTGAGGGAAAAGGAAAAATCAGTAATATTGATCCTGTGTTTGCTTAAAGATTGATATTTTGTTCATCATGGGGTTTTTTGGGGGGCATTCCATTTGACTTTAAAAATACATTGTTGGGCTGGGGAGATGGTTCAGTGGCATAAGCACTTCGCTGGCAAGCACAAGGGCCTGAGTTCAATCCCCAGTTCTGACCAAAAATAAAAATAAAAATATATTGTTAAAAAAAAATATGCTTTTTTTTTTTTTTTTTGCGGAACCGGGGATTGAACTCAGGCCCTTGCACTTGCTAGAGAAGTGCTTATTCCACTGAGCCATCTCCCCGGCCCCAATATATGCTGTTATCGCTATAAAAAATAAAATCTTTGTACTATAAAAAAAATATATGCTGTTATCAAAGTACTATCTTGATTAGTTTTGGGAGCCCCTTTCCTTAAAGTTTGTAGCCCAGGAGGCTGTTATACCAGCAACCTCCCAATTTGTGGCACTGCTAATAAGTGAGGTGCAAAGGATTAGAGGGCTTCATCAGGCAGAGAAATTCTCCAGCACCCATTGCATCACTGCCCAGATCCTGTGCCCCGCAGCAGCCTGGTGGGCCCCACCGGGACCAGCCTGGCACCTCAATTCCTCCTGCCCACCTTCTCTCTCCCCCGCAGACGTGGTTCCCCTACAGCCCGAGGTGAGCAGCTACCGGCGTGGGCGCAAGAAACGTGTGCCCTACACTAAGGTGCAGCTGAAGGAGCTAGAGAAGGAGTATGCGGCTAGCAAGTTCATCACCAAAGAGAAGCGCCGGCGCATCTCGGCCACCACGAACCTCTCGGAGCGCCAAGTCACCATCTGGTTCCAGAACCGGCGGGTGAAAGAAAAGAAGGTGGTCAGCAAATCGAAAGCTCCTCATCTTCACTCCACCTGACCGCCCACCAGGCCACCCGCCCCGTCTATTTATGTCTCCGCTTTGTACCATAACGGAACCCATTGAAGGACGAAGGACCCTGCACTGGTGCAGAAAGTATTTAATGTTAACAAGAAAGAGGAACCGTGCACCCGCCAGCCCGGGAGGCAGAGTCTTCAAGGAAGCCCTCGGCCTTACCCTACTCCCTTTCTCCTCCCCACCTCCACCCCCATCCAGAGGATACTCGCTGTGCATCAGCAGCTTTGGGGGTGGGTCTGGGTGGGTGGTGGGAGAAAGGCTGTTGGCCTTCACTCCTCACCTCACCAAAAAGCTGAGTGTCGGCAGAGAGCCCAATCATTCCAACCAAAGCAGGGTTGGGAGCTCCTGAATGACTTAATTTTTGCCCTTTCTTATGCCCAGGATGGTACATGACCTTCCTGAAGGCTGCAGCTTGGGTGCAGGAGCTGGTAAGCTTGTACTCCCCTCCCAGTTCCTCCTTTTCTCTATCACCCCCACAGACACTCCGTAGGCAAGATTTCCCAGTTATGATTTTCTGTGTATATTTTAAAAGTCATGTTAATATTAATGATATCTGTTAGGAACTTGGCAGCGTGACTGGAGTATAGACCATGCTTGGAGCTTGTAGGTTTTCTTTTTTCTTTTTTTTTTTTTTTTTTTTTTCATGTTTCAACAAAAGCTGGAGTTGGTACAGCCGCTAGCTTCATCCAACTCAGAAATAATTTCTCTTCTCAGAGCTTTCTTTGCCCTCCCCTGCTCTGCTCTCCCCTCATGTGGAAACCCAAGGCAGACAGAAACTCCAACCATGTTGCTAAAGGCAGTTTAGCCTGTCTCCTAAAGAGGTTTGGCATTAGGCCAAGCTCAGAAGCAGAAGTTTTTAAGGAGAAACTTCTCTTCCAGGGGGATGGAGAGTGGGCACCACAGCAGCAGGGCTCCTCACCAACCACCAGTCCACAAAGCAGTACACTGGGCGACACTTCACACTTTAACTTCTACCGATTTCCCAAGGAAAGCTAGAGGAGCTAGTTTAGAAGGCTAAAATAACTGGCCCCCAATTAGCTGCCTAAATGTAGATGCTGCCTAACATTACCCTCCTTGAAAGCCAACTTGGTGCTGTGGGGGCCCCCCTTACCTCCTGCATTCCCACTGGCACATTACAGAACAGTGTTCTTTTGAAATGTCCATCTGAAATAGGCTCTTTTTTTTTTTAATGTTGTGTATCTGTATATAGTATTGTGATGTCTGGATGACAATGTACTGAATGCAAAAGCAACCCATAAACCTGTTTTTAAAATAAAATATCTTTTTTTGCCTTGATTTTATTGCTCAGATTCCTTCTGAAACCCCTCTGTCTAATGGCTTTTTGGGGCACCGTCTACTATATCCATGGACATCCTGACAGCCAGATTGGCGAAAGAATGAGTATACATCATCCCAATTCAATAGATCTACAGCCTATATTTTGCTACACTTACATTTTTTAGCTATTTTGGTTGTCTGCACTACGTAGACAAAAGGAAACTTCCTATCCTGATCCCCAATTTAGAGGAGCTTGTGGGAGGGCAAGGCAGAAAAGATGTGATCTACCACTGAAAAGCCCTGGAAGGAGGTAAGTAAGAAAAGGATGTTGCTGGTCATTCCATTAATAGTTCTTAAAGGTTCAGGGTGGGGATAGAGCTCAGTGGTAGAATGCTTGTCTGCCTTACACAGGTCCCTGGCTTTGATACACTTGCCCGTGTGTGTGCGCGCACACACACACACACACACACACACACACACCAGTTGGAGTCTGGTTCAGGGTGCTAAGAAGGCAGCATCCCAGCTAAGAATCAGTGGCTTAGGGCTGGCAACAGGAATGGGAAGCTAATGTTAGGCCTCTGGGGTCCTCCCAGAGGCAAATCCCTGACCATTTCAGGGCTGGGGTCTGGGTTGGAATGCTGTTTATACAGCCTGCCAGAGGCAGCTTTGAGCTCAGCTTTTCCAAGCTGTACTATTTTCTTTCCCATATCAGCCTGTGCACAGTGGTTGTAACACTAGTACCCGTTGGGCCCCTAGTTTGCCAAACCAGTGCTACTTTCACTCTCTAACATTCCTGGGAACCTCATTCTATCAAGACAATCAGAAACCCTTGTAGATGCTGCCACTAATTTGTTTTGCTTGTCGCGTCTGTGCCTATCTCCCTATCTGGCAGAGTTAATGAGATCGTTAAGTTGTCAGGTTAAGAGACTTTTAAAAAGCAATATAGCCTAAAACAATGTTATCTCAGATTAAATCTTTACTGCAGCAATTTTTATTTATATATAATATTTTTCCTCTCCTGAGACACAGAAAGACTGGAGGTGGAGAAATCAGGTTGGAAATCAGAGTTTTCCAGGTTTTCTATTTGCCTGATGGGGCTGAAGCTTTTTAAATTTCATTT